TCATCTCTATCTAGCTATTGAGAGAGAGAACTTTGAGGGAAGGTGTAGACAAAAATATAAGGAATTTAACTTTAGTCTACTGAGTTTTATGTATCTGGAGGCATTTTTATGATCTAGCATAGAACTGAAAATATAAAACATATGGGGAGAGGTCAGAACTTGAGTTGAAAGTTTAAGAATCAATATAGGAAGGTCTGGGTAGAAAGGATGCCTTAGAGGATAGAAGCTGTAGAATAAAAAAAAATAAAACTCAGAGCTGAGCTTTGAAGGATATTTTTGTTTAGAGAGCAATTGGGCTAGTAGAACATACAGAAATTTTAGAAGTAATTCCAGGGAAAAGTAATGAGTCCAAGTCAAGAAAAGAGGATTTCAAAGTCTGTCTGTTCATCATCCCTGTCACACATGGCAAAGTTGAGTGAGTTAGGGAGTAAGTGTGGGAGAAGAGCACTTTAGATTTGATTATTGCAGGTCAGTTGTGATGTTGGAAGTCTGCAGTTTCAAGAGGGAAGACAGGGAGAATCATGTATGGTGGACACAAGAATAAGGCAGAAATCCTGTATGCAGAAGGTTAGAAGGTTTATTGAGTCCTTTTTGAAAAGTAAAAAAGCCTGGGAGAGAGCAAAAGAGCTGAGAAATTGCTTATTATTATCATTATTAATATTAATATAGAGAAGAAATGTATGTCATGGAAAGTACAAGTAGCTAGCCAGAGGTACCAAAAATCAAAGCTATGTAAGCACTCAGAGCATACTTATTTGATTACAGAACAGCTTTTTACTTTGCAAATGAGAAAGGGCACCTCTTCCTAGAAGTCTGGGGAAAAACAAATAAGTAAAGAACAACATTTTGAGATAGACTAAAAGGACAATGAAGCCATTTCCAATGGACCCAATTTTCTCAAGTAAATATATGGAGCCTAGGTCACTTTAATAGTGGGGAAGGTTTGACATATTTGTGAACAGTGTTTTAGGGGATGAATGAGGAGCCTGCTGAGTTTCAGTTGATTAGCTCAGTATTGTACATTTACCATTGATATGTTTAATTAATGATTAAATCTTAACTTCATGTTTAACAAATCCTTCCTAAATTGAGTGTTTTCTGTGAAAAAAAAAACACTTCTGTTTCATTATTCCATTGCAATGTTTTTCAAAATTTCCCAGTTTATTGTTTGACCATGAATTAAAATAAACTGGATGCTATAGAACTTCTATTTGATGTGTATCAAAAATACTCAGATTTTTAAAAATGAAGATCCTTTTGGATTAAAATATCTCAAAGAATTAATTTTCCAAGACTGTTTGAAAACTCTATAGGTATACAATAGATTTAATTTTGAAACATTCAAAACAAATCATGTCAAAATTAAATACATTCTTACATTATTAGTAATATCAACAAAAGCAATATAGCAATTTTGTATTGACATTCATGGGAGGTGGATTTTGTAAACAGTTAACCTCCAGAATAACTAGTTAAGCAAAGCCTGAGGGTAATGAGGGTATTACCAGGGAGAATGGTGTTTGACAGTCTCTGACTGTGCAGAAGGAGGAGCTGGCAAAGTTGGAGAGAGGGATGTATAGGGCTGCAGATCTAGGCTTGAGTGGTGTGCACAAGTCTTTCAATGTGAGGATCCGGTTGCAGCTGGGCATGTTCCATGTCACACTCTTTTAGGATTGGTGGACATAGAGAAGCAAGCATCTGAAGAGGGTTTAAGTAAACAGTTGTTTGATAATTAAGAACTTTGTTCAATTTCAGGAGCTTAAGATTCAGATAAATTAATTTTTAGTAAGTTCCTGAAAAAAAAAGTTTTTGTTCTAATTTACAGCCTTATCTTAATGGGCAAGAACATTTAGGGACTAAAAGCAAAATCTGGATGTAGGTTGCTTCTTGTGCCTGATAGGTGAATGCCAAGGCCTTCATCATCAATTTCATTAGCAAATTGAGAACTGAATTGTAATGTGAAGTACTTTACTTTGCGCTTTGTGTGGAAGAGGTATAAAATAAAAGGGTGCAATTACCCAGAAAGATCTTCAACTGGGATATACTGCTTTGTTTTTCCATTGGTTGGACAAATTAATGAAACGGATCGTTCAAAAATGACAGTAACAATCATATAGAGGACAGACCTAAAACTACATTCTTGGAGCTCAGGATGAAGAGGTTAGACAGCGATTCTATCTTGTCACACCTTTTCATTTAAAAAAACTGACTGATAAAGATTTGTGCTCAAGATAATTAACTCTTAACTTTCAATGAGCTTAAAAGGAAGAAATATTTAATGAAAGTACTGTATAGACATGCATAATGCTGTGTTTTAAGAATGTTTCAAATACACCTACCTTAATCTTCCTGTGTTAATGCACTTTACTCATTGAACTTACTAATATTTCATTACCTAATATTAAAGAAAATATCAAAAGATAGCTACAGAAAGTATTTTTTTAATTCAATAATAGGAGTTTTTAAATGGGAGATTCCACTAGTGATTATAAATCAAACCAGTAAGTAGGATAAATATGAGACCCAGAAGACCAGATTTTAAAGACCAGAAAAAAATTAAAGAAAATAAACAAATGTTAAGCTAGGGAGTTACACTTGAATTTTTTTTAAAAAAAGTTTCTCCTACTAATTCAACATTGAGAAATTAATAGTAAAAGTGGCAGGAATGCAGATCTAAAGGTATTCATGTCTCAAATCTCTTGTCGATTTTTTAAAAGTCTAATATATAATCATCCAATAAAATTTATTTTAAAATTCATCAAATGTATTCTCTTCTCAAACAGGTTCACTTCCTTCTACTTTAGTTCTAAGGGAAATAAAAACTGATTTACTTTCCTCTACCTTAATATTATTCATCAGCTGCTCAGAGTGTTCTCTTACTATCCGGGACTGCGGGGCCATATGTTATTCTCTTTTCTATTGAAAAATAACCATCATTTTTGCTAAGATTGCTCTAAGCTCTTCTTTCTCCCTAAGCTCAAAGACTGCATCCCTATTTATAATTCTGTAGTGTGCTTGCTCCCCTGGGACAGGAACCACTCCTTGGGTGGCTCCTGCTATATTTATCTCCACAGTGTGGTAGAAGGGGGAAAAATCATTTTTCTTTTAACTTATAGTGAAAATATTATAAGGTTTATTTGTAAAGACATGCCATTTGGCTCTTCTTGCTAATCTGTGATGGCTTTGTTCACCACTATGAATAAATGGTCCAGAATTATGAATATTAAGGAAAATGGAAGAGACATTAGTTTGAGGCTGGACTGTTGATTCAAGCAAGCACTAATTAAGAGCAAGAAGACAGGGGACTAAATGGGTAACCCGGGTGACCGGTGTTGCTGTTCGGCAGTCATCATAAATATGTTATGAAAAGAAAGGGAAGGGAGGAAAAGAATATAAATTGAAATAAATACCTATTATTTATTTAAATTCATCATTTGTTCTAAAATCACTAGAAAGGAAAACAGGTAAAGTTAGTGATGAAAAAGGACAGAATTTATTTGTAGCTGATGAAGGAAATTCAGAAGGTGATGTAAGGCCCTCTTCACATAGACTACTTTTCAATCCATCCAGACTGGCTTAGGTAGTAACTTGGAGATCTGTTTTTGTTTCTTTCCCTTCTTTCTTAAAATTCCTTTTCCTGTCCCTGTCCCCAGACTGCAGTTCCAACACATCACTGTCCCCATTTGTGATTAACATCACAAAGAACTATTGGTCTTCTGTGCAGTTCTTGATTCTATAGGAGAACTTCTAGGAGAGTCATATTAGACACTCAGTCTTCTGAATGAAATACTAACAAACAAGCAAACCATTTTTGCTTGTGCAAGCTATCACTGACTGCTTCTCATCATATAATTTCTAGGTGTTACTATTTATTGTATTGAAATAACCAGAGAACAAGTCAGAAAACCTTGCTCTGCCAAAAGCATCAGACATTTCCACATCATCTTCACAACCTTTGATGCATACTTGTTCACCATTATGCATGTGAATGTGTTCTGGTTCTGAGGTGTTGTGACTTGTATGAATTTGTTCACTGTGAACAGTGTACCCAATTCTCTTCAATATTGCCTTTATTCCAATAATGGGCAGGAGGTCAGGAGATGCAAAACACCATGGAAAAGTTTAGAATTAAGTATACCTGGAAAGGAGATATCATTAAAAAGAAAAAGTACTCAAGATTGCTTTGATTTGTGTGTGTGTGTGTGTGTGTGTGTGTGTGTGTGTGTGTGTGCGTGTGTGTGTAAACTGCTGAGTAGCTTCTGTGGCAGGTTTCCCTTAGGTTGACATTTTCCCTCTGAGGGTTCTTAAGATGATTTAATTTTCCAATGAATGTTGGTAAATTTAACTCAAAATTATATTAAATCAACAGCTGTTCAGATGCATGCAATTATTTAAAATGAAGACATCATTCTAAAGGTGACAAAGTAGATTCACTGGCAGGCGAGCACAGACATTTTGATCTGTGATCACACAAGCCAGATAAAATACCAGACACAAAATTCTCAACCCAAAGGAGAAAAAGGTTGAGTAGGAACTGAGCAGTTGTAGAACTGAATACATGAAAATGTCTGTATGAAGATAGTTCATTATGAGTGGCTTTAGAACAGTATAGAGCTATGGTTAACTGGCAACACTTATAAGTTTAACTAGATAATGAATCAGTAACTTACTTTTGAAACTGCCTTTTCACTTTGTCCCTTCTTGCACATCTCAGAATGGGCAGCAGGTTGCCCATATTTTAATGAATGTTCATTTGTTAAACGAGAAACCTGAATAGCCCTCTCTAACACTGTCATCATTGCACAATAGACTATGTGCTAGCTGGGCTTCCTGATCATTGAAGAGGATTAATGTGAGCCAAGTACTGAAATCTGCTCAGGTTACTAAAGGCTAACAAGATTGTTCTAATGTGTCTGTTGATTATGCACATTTTCTCCTCTACAGATATTACATTACCTAGTCAATCTGTTCGTCAATTGTTCATACCTTTGTTGTTGCAGATACAGATGTGGTGTATAAAAGCGAGAATGGACATGTCATTCAACTGAATATAGAAACAAATGCTACCACGTTATTATTGGAAAACACAACTTTTGTAAGTAATGGATAATTAATTACTTTATACACTTCAGTATTGTTTAGAATACTCTGTAGATATAGTTCAGCTGCAGCACTTTCAAAGCATTTCAGATGAAACGTAAGAGTTGAAAAATCATTAGAATCAATAGGCTTATTGATAAAAAATACTCCTATGACCATCTGCTTTGTTTTGTCCCCATTTATCCTTTTTAGTGAATGAGTAAATGTTTCCAGCAATAATACTTCCTTACAATGAATATTTCTTCTAATATTTTCTATGTTAGATTAGTCACATACAAGTGCCACGACTGAGAAAACAGGTTATTCTATCACATGTTACCACAAACATTTTATCCCTTTTTACTTGGCATTCTTCCTAATTCTGTTATGGTTTTCCTGACTGATCAGAAGGCAAGCTTTTTAAAACTAGCCTTCTGCTTGTGTTGATATGTTTTTGAGGATTCTATCAATATCATTTTCTTTCTCCAGAATCATTGTTGAGCCTAATAATGTTCAATTAATGGAATGCATTTATTTTGCTCTTATAAGCAAATATGAACTTGTCTTTCTGGTAAATTCAATCTTCTTAAGGTTAGATTTAGTTACTGTTACCTGTTGAGCAAGTGATAATGAATTATCCATTGCCAAACTTCAGAATCCAGCCATCAAACACTACTGAAAAATAGTGCACAGTAATTTGCTCACTGTTTTATATAACCAAAGGCTCAATATATTGTTCATATTATACAGACAAAACATAGTATAAGGACTCAGAACACCTTCCACAGAATTTAAAGCAATAAACAAATCAACTAGGTCTTAAAACATGTTCCTACATGTACATTTGGAATAGGCCTTAAACTTCATGTTATTATAGGATGGCCAGGTAGAAGAGATGGACTGGAACTGTTGTTTAATGTTTTCATATGTTAATAAAAAATGGTCATTGAAATCATGGTCACTGAAATTAGTGCAACCAGCTGATATACTTTAGCAAGTGGATCATTCACTAGCAGAGAATACTGACATTTTTATTTTTAAACTAACTTATTAATTCACAGATATCAGAGAAACAGCTACTCTGAAGGCATCTTGTTATAGTATGTGCAGAATGCCAAGGATTTTTAAGACATATTGATCACTTGCTAAGAAGTGGTTGGGGGAGATGATAATAAGCCTCATCAAAAAGTTCAATAAACAATATGAAGCAATATCTACTATTTTTTAATTGGATGGTCCTCAGAGATATTAGACAAAAGGCTAAGGAACCATTGAGAGATGCTGAAATCCTTAGAAAAGAAGCCCTCAACAGGAGATAGGGCAGGAGGCACAAAGCAGGAATTGGGAATTATGAGAGGGTATGCTAATGATTTGCTGATTAAAGTCAATGTGAATTGATTCTTGATAAAATTAGTTTGGGGAACAAAATAAGTGCATTTTAATCTTGTTTCCTTTATCATAAAGTATTGTTCTTGTGGAATATAGGCATGCAGTGGCTAATCATTTAAGTTAGGTATAGATACTCAGTATATGAATATCGGTTCTGTGACTGTCCCTTACTGATCATTCCCTCACACAAGGTAATGAGGTCTTCCTCTGGTCAAAAATTATGTATTTATTCTTCAACATTTATTTCCTGCTTTCATAGCTTCTATGATTCATCCAAAAAGAAACAAACAAAAAAAAATCTGAAAAGTTTTTGGTTTATTATTCCATTATCCCAATTATTTTTTTGGTACTTAATGCCACATCCATGTCCTCTCACTGTAGCTCTTTCCATGTGCTGGTGAATGTCATTTTATCTTTGTACTTCTGTGTTTAATTTTTTAAATCCTTTTGAGGTATATTTCTACTCTCTTCTATGTAGGCTATGACTCTTAATTACCAGAGTCATATTATGCAAATATTCTGATTTACTGATCTTCTAAAATGCATAGGCTTCCTAAAGATACTTATCTCACAACACAGATAATTAAGCAATTTATAAGTTCTGGAGGTGCCAGAATTCAGTTGGAAGAGGTGGCCAGTAAGGAATTTGAGTGTAGCATATATTTGCAACCAGTCAACCCCAAGTTGCAAACAAAGGACCAATTACTGGGATTCCACATGATTTCAGAGGAACCCATTTAATCATTTCCTCCCAACTCCAAGATAGTATTATAAAAATGCAATTGTGTTTTTAAAGCTCATGTTAAGCCACATTCTAGACTAACTTTCTCTCCTGGGCCATTTTGTTAGAAAACATATTTTATCAGAATATAAGAATTTTATTTATTCTGCAGTTTTTTCATTGAGCAATTATCAATATTTTAATTATAATCACAATTAATGGAATAAATCACTATGAAAAGCTTTGTAATAAAAATGTGCCAAGTCACTTGAAAAAAGACACATTATTGATAAAAATGTGACAACAGATGGCCTGTTAAGGTATGTTTTGCTAAAATGTGACCGTCAATTTCTTTGAAAATTAAAATAACACTACATTGTCATTTCTCTGCTTTAAAGCATTTTAAATATGAATAGTGGGAACTTTTAGCTTTGTAATCATGGTTAACACACTCTATGAATAATAATAATATTAGGCATGGCTGTCAAAAATAAAACAAAACTAAATCATTTTCCTGAAATAATTGTCTTAAGGCATTCTTTTTGATTGAAGATAGGTGGATTTCTAATGAAGAAGGAATTAAAGCATATTTAACTTTTTGAAGAGGAGTTACATAAACGAAGTGTTTTAGACTCAAAACTGCTCGTAGTCATTTCTAAGTGTTCAGAAATGTTATCTCTTAAAGCCAGAACTATTTCAAACAAATGCTCATTCACAGTGACACAATGAGGAAAATGTTCCATAAGTATTATCTTTTTCTGCTGTCAATAAATTGAATATTATGAGTGGTCTTGGCAGAAAACACCAGCAGCCATAAATACTTGTAGCAAATCACTTTTTGAAATTAGAAAGGAATTGGAAACGTGGGTTGAAACGATGTGCTTAAATATTGGTAAGGTTAAAAAAAAAGAGTTCATGCACAGTATGGGAAGAGATAACTGATAGATAAGAATCTTGCATCTGATTTATTTAGGCTATGAAAATAGCCTAAAAGAGAGGGAGAAAATTCATATATAGTAGCAAAATGATTCCAAGGAAAATGTTAGCTAAACAATTTTTGTCCAACTATGTATTTATAGATTATAATAAGATTGTAGCTTGACTAGAACCAGGGACTATTTATTAACTTGTAATGCATAGAAATACCTTCAGTTGACTTATACATGTTGTAGTATTTTTATTCTTTTTTTTAAATTTGTTTTGCCATTGGTTATGTAGAAGTGAGGGGAGCTAACTGTATACCACCATGAAATCATGAAGCTTATTTTCTGTTTCATGTTTGAGAAAATGGGTACCCTATGAAAATAATACAGCTGCACAAATAAAGAATTGTTGGATGAAGACACTCCATAACTCCCCTCTTCAATTTTGAAGCGAAGTAAAGTTTTCAGAAATTTCTGACCAGTCAGGTGGTTTCACATGTTGGCTATAATCATGTAGAGTCTGTTATTTTTTTTAAGATCTGGCCTTACCAGTACTCCAGCAGTGGTTGACATCAGTGGTATAACTAGCACTGATTGAGCAACGAAGTCACAGGACCTGCACTTGTATGCATGTTGCTTTGTGCAGGACTGTACAGTTTGTCTCTTTCTCTAGACCAGTGGCTCTCAGATGGTGGTGTACTTTGTCCTCAGGAGATGTTTGGTGATTCTGGAGACATCATGATTGTTACAGCTGAAGGTCAGGAGTTTGCCATGGGAATCTAGTGAGTAGAAGTCAGAGATGCCACTAAACATTCTATAGTGCAGAAGCCATCTTATAACAAAAAATTATCTAGCCAAAAATATCAGTGGTGCCAAGTTTGAGAAATCTTATTCTAGACAGAGGTCCCAGGAATACTCAGTGATAACTAGAAGGTAGTTTTGTCAAGGTGAACTCAAAGCCATGATTCTTTAATGGGTAATTGTCACAGAGGGTCTTAAATTGTGGCTTCCTGCTTCATTATCTTGAGATAAGTTTCTTGTTCTTATGGGAAATTTGCAAAGAAGTCTAGCATGCATGAATATAATAATTTGGGCTTGAATTTCTGTCCTTTGGATAGTGAGGATATAGGCTAAAAGTATCATCCAGTTTTCTTGCAGTTTTCTGGGGATACTTCTAATTGAGCCATTTTTGTTCAGACAAGATAATATCACTTATTGGTTGTTGCCAACTCCTTTGACTAGGAAGCAAATGATCCTCTTTAAGTTAGAAAATAAAAACTGATAACCACAGAGGACTCCAGCCAGCATAATTATTTCCACTGGAGCATTGTTATAAATGGTTGAATTTAGTTGACTTTAGATTGAGTAAATCTCTACCCGTCCCAATAGCAATCACCACTACCTGTTATTGAATGCATTAATATTGCTTTCATTTTTATTATTCACCTTGAACACATTTATACACTTTTTACATCCACATTATTTACTTTGAAAATAACTATTATGTTTTAAATTACTTAATTTCCAACTCTTAATCATCAAAGAAATATCTATCTTTATTCATGACCTATGTACATTCAGAGAAATAGAAATGAAGTAACCCATTTTTCATCAAAGATAGGAATATTTTTTGTATATTTATTAATCTAGGAAAGAAAACATTGTAACTATCATAAATATTTAACTTGCTTAAAATTTTCTATACATTAGATTGATGTGAAAATGAATTCTAGCAGTTTTAAAAGTGATGGTTATCAAAACAGGAACCTTAGAAAGAAAAGTTCTGATTCTCACCCTGGAAGTCTGCTCAAGTATAAATTTAAAGTGTGAAGAGATACGCTTGTCTCCATATGTTTGCAAATGTGATGTGATAACTGCCTCATTCCATATAGGCATTCAAACACTTGCCCTTAAATGAGAAAGATTCCAGAAGAGACCACTCCACTTTAAGTTTTTCCCTAAATCATACTGTGAATGATCTAA